ATAGACATATCAGGTAGTATTAACTAGACATAGGATAGGTAACCCCCATTTGATATTATCATTGATATAAATGGCGACCGAATTCTTTCCAATCATTAAAGATGGTTACCAAATATGGGCAAAGCAACATTAAGGACATATTAAATCTTGGATTGGTACTACCACTTCGAAAACGTATAACGTTACACGGCCCAAATTTTAAATTAACGATTCTAAAGCTGTTTTGTGTATATAAACCTGTATTTATAGCATCCATCCACGAGAATGAAAGATTGTAGAGCCTCAAAACGACACAAAAGATATATAACACGTAAAATTGAAGATAACGACTTGTTTTATGAATGAAATGGTCATTTAAAAAGTACAAATCGTTTTCAGACGTATCGCAAATATTGACTTATCTATAATGTGTTTGTTAAAAAACAAGAAAACCCGTATTTGGATGTTTGGTTATATGAAATAAAGCCATTTCATGTTAGATAAAATTTACTTCAAGGTTTTTCATCTACTTTTATCTAAATTAACAGATTTAAAAATTCACGTTATAATACATGAACGTGACTGATGTACAAAGAAATAACTTTGTTTCCGGAAATAAAAATAATGTTTTTCACTGTTTCATTTCAGTAACCTGTTGGTATCTTTTTAAGTTTAGAAGTAGTTTGACTCTGCAGCCCTTAAATGTAGTAAATTGTTTGCAAACAAAATGAGAATTGTCCTGCGTTGCCACAACGGTCCACAAACATGTATGTAGGGAGAAAGGTTGCAAAAAAAAATGGTCTTGTATTGACTCAACAGCCATTGGAATATTGAAAAAGAACCTTTTGTTCTTCGAATTTAGCTAGATAAAATCTACCATGAAGGTCCGTCTTTAGAAATCTTTATAGGATAAAACGTCATTTGCCGTAAGGCACGGACACCTGTCTAGATCGTCTGTCTTTCACCTTAATATAGCAATTTAATCCAAATTTAATTGACTGAATAGTCGCTGTCTTCTTGACCAAAGGTAATTCACAGTTTTGTACGCTGAATAAAAAAAATACGGAATATTTTATAGTTAATATGTCAACATTGTGAAGAAAATTATGTGCATGGGCGGATATGGTTGTAATTATAGACTTTTGTTAAAAATTATACAGTAATCATTTATTTGAAAGGTAACTCAAATAAGATTCAGATGTCTCTAACGTTTGTACAATGAACTTGACTATTGTAAATATAACAACATGTGAAGGTGTGTATGCATATGTGTATATTTTATAGGTTTGTATAAAGATTCATACCGGTAAGGGTGTGTTTGTTTCATAGGTGATAAAGCATATATGATCCCTTGTTAAGGAGTAAAACATTTCATTCAAATAAAAGCATACTTTCGGATAAAACAAATTTGCGTTACGATATATTTTGTAAGCATGGAAACTTTCTACATAGAACATAAACTATATACATAGAAAAAGATAATTAGGCGACATTTCAGGGCAAATAATGCGAAAGTTCTATCGCCAGTTAAAGTAAGATATAATTAAAACCAATAAAAGTAGATCGGTTAATGAGTTACAGAGTAAAATTTATTACGTTTAATTTCAGCTTTAACTTGAAATAATACTTTTCATCTAAAACATCGTTATCGTTCACCTGAGTGCACCCGTCTGAATGTGTAATACTTATATACATGAACGATACATATAGTACTGTTCTTAGAACCTTCGGGTATAATCAAAAAGACATATGTTTATCTTGACTTCTCCCATGCAAAAAGGGGACAGGGCGCCTGTTTGTTCGTGGGAAATGTATAAATAGGTATTCTCGATCTGTTTGAAAGAGGACGTTACATCTAACAGCCCGTGTTCAGACGGTGGCATGCTTTCCGCTCCACAGAGAACCTCTACATGACGACCGTTAGACTATGCTTGTTGCAAAGCCAAAATGTCCAAATTCAACATTGATTTCCCTCTTTTTCCAGTTGCAATCCAAATTGACCACCATTCATCCGGTCGACCCATTTTACAGTACTTATTTGTACTTATTTGTACTTATTTAATGTAATGTTTACTTTATTCTCGTCCTCAACATGGATCTAACATGAATATTTGCCACGGAATGTTAACCAAATAACGAATCGATATGAATACGCATGTACATTGAAAGTAATTCGTATTTCGTTGTGTTTTCAATTGCACAATCTAGGGTATCAGGACTCTATCCCCGTCTTAACCCCAATGTTCTCTTCTGCTAAAGTCGCTCTGATAATCTTCTACCTTGATTCGTTTACGACAGTTAATTCTTTAGTGATTTCGAAATTGAGAAAATTTTACCAATTTATAAATGCGGCATTGTTATAAGGTAGTTTGTTGTGTTAAAGGCAAGTTTTGCTAGCAATAGAATGTTTTGATTTTTTTGAAACCGTTCGAACTACAAAAGTAATCCTCTGTAATTAAAGAAAACAAATGTATTATTACTGTGTCAATTTGTTTTGGTTGTCTTAGTTTCAATATTAATAGATATGTTGATATTATACATACCAATTGATCAATTGATTGTTAGATCAAGATTATAAGTGATCCTCTTACAACTGAATTCAATTATGACCCTATTGCTTTAAATATGATAGCATTCATGTTATATCCGATGCGTGAATTTTCTTTATGAACGCCAATGGTACAAAATGATCTCATTTATATTTTAGACTCAATATTACGGGTTTTGATTTATTATATTGGATTATAACAGATTTGATAATTATTAACTTATATATAACAAGTCACGAATAATCCATAGGAGCTAATTAGATGTGTTGTCCTTTAGAAAATCTGCATGTAAAATCTATACTTTAATCAGAGAATATTTTTTAAACATGTATTTATGCTATGTTGTTACCTTTGCTGCTCCAATATATAATCTGTAGTTAGCTAAACAGTAGGCTACATTGTATATTACAATATATCGGGACAATCTAAATGTAACGTACATGGTTAACCACAGTGACTATTCATCAGCTGAACTAACAATATGGTGAAAAATTTAGAAATTTGGAGAAATTGGAATGTAATTGGATAACCAAAACTATTGGTTATCGTCAACTGCTTTTGATAAGTTGTTATTTATATTTTAAAGTTACTACAAAAATTACATAATCTGTTAATATATTTTATTCAAATGTACGAGATACAATCTAAGGTAACCCATCGCCAGTATTTAATATAATTTTATAGTTTTGCGATTCAAAAAACTGGAAACGATTGAGAGACATAGACATAACAGTGTAGCATTTTTTTTTCATGACATAGACATAACAGTGTAGAATTGCAGTGCATCAGCTTAGCCTCTTAAGGTAGCTGGGGTGTCTTCCACCATTCTTGGATTTTGAAATAGCAGACAACAGTCGGTCTAGATCTTTAATGAAATGTGCAAATTTCGAGAGTAATATGAAATTCATTTGTAAGACTTTTCATGTTAATATAGAAAATTATGTGTTTTATCATATTTACGGCTGTACTTTACAAAAAACAGAATATTTTTGTTTGATTCATTTTTTTCCAACTTTGCTACACAAGGGGAGATAACTCAGACAAAGTAATTTTTATAATTGAATGTGTTGTGAATTTACCTATTTTATTATGTAGCAAGAAAACGAGTCCGATGACCCCATTTTTTCGTGTTCTTATCTGAAAGCATATTATTAGAGCTATCTTCTCATATTTTATCTTAAAATTCTGTGGTATAGTTTTCTTTTTATCACACAAAATTGGGTTTTCCATGCATAATCTATACAAAATCTGACAATTTTACACAACCTGTAGCGAAAAAAAAATCCCGGTGACCCATAGTTTTTTTTTTAGATTTTTTTAAAAAGCATGATACATTTTGTCAAATTATTTCAGAATTCTATGGGTTTTAATTTAACCCCATCTACCTTAAGACCTGCATTATCCATGAGTAAATAAACCATTCAGTATTAACCGTTTTGTCGATCAATTCAAATCTTATTTTTTAATTGAATAGTTTGGCATAATAAGTTCAGTAATACATTTTGTTTCTTTATTATTGTTTTGGTGGATGTAGTACTTTAAAATAAACTACATAATTTCATGTAGTGTCTGTGGTCTGTGTATATGCATCATCTTGAATGTCTTGTGTTCGATAACCAAATTTACAACGCCATCTACAGTACATCCGGTTTGTTACATATTTCACTAGTTTTGAGATGTCAGTCATTAAGTCTTTTATCGAGCGTTTTAACAGAATACGGCAGATTCACTCGGGCACATTTACGCAATAGGACTACCGTTTTATTGGTTTCAAAGGATGCTGTAATAGTTATGGCAGATATAAATTTACTGTTTTTAGCAGTTTGTGTATGAATTTACAATAAACACTTAAATTCTTGAAGCTTGTTCCTTTAAGATATTTTTTAAAACATCTTTCAGTTGAGAAGTGTTGCGATCAGCTGAGAAACTGTAAAACTCTGTTAATGTGTATTGCGTCACCAATTTAAGTGTCAGTTATTTATCTTCTAGCTTAAATAATTCTTATTTGTTCTAACTATCAGCAGTAGATTAGTTAAATCTAAATACTCTTAGTTTATGTACTAAACGATTATGATTTTCAACACACTTGTCAAAATTTAACAAATTTTAGTTTTATATCAAACATTGTTGTCATACTTTTGAAGAAAGTGTTTCTAACTTTGATAATGTAATGTATCGCTGCCAACAATCTGACACATGGAGGGAGTCCTTTAATTCCAACTGACCTGCTGTTTTAAACAAAATCAAAAAGAATATAATAATATTTTCAAACCCCATATGTCAAATAAAAACAGACAACACCATCGCTAAACCGAAAAACACAGAAAAGACAAACCAATCAACCAAGCACTGTACAGAAAACTAAAGATTGAGAAACACGAAGCCCACAATAAACCATGTGATAGGGTTTGTTTCATCATGTTATAATTCATCCTCCTATTCATAACTGTACGATGATTTTTCCTTTTACAGATTATTGGCTGTGACGGTATTGCTGGGTCAAATGCCAGGTTAGATCACTGTGGTGTATGCAGTGGAGACAGTTCATCATGCCAGCTAATATCAGGAATATTCACCAGGAGATATCTAAAATATGGATATAACTTGATAAGTCGTATTCCTTCCGGAGCATGTAACATCAATATAACAGAAATGTCCCGCAGTAGGAATTATTTAGGTATATTTATAGTATAGATAACGAAAAATTACCATTTATGTAATAAAACATCATATTCTAGATAAACTGAAAAACAAATGTATTTTATTATAGTAAAAATCGTATTGCATTATAGTATGAGTAAGTAATCAAGTACACAATGCTTAATTCACAATACTATACATGTTTTTATTTTAGTTTGGATCGTTTCATTTAGAGAACAGAGTGTATTGTTGCCCACATACATTTCTTATAAGTTTCGAGAAATTTTAGTTCATTCTGTATTTACCCTGATGTTGATGTTTGCTATCGTTAGATTTTATTGAGTGGTTTCACTTCAAATAATCGACATCATCATACTAAAACATAAGACATGATAAGAAAGTTTATCTCAAATATTGAAAAATTGTTTTTATTTCTTGCTTACCATCAATGAAAATGCTCTTGAAATAACTGGAACGAACAACAAAAATTCCATATCTCTTTCGCAATTTAAGTTTTGAGTAGACAAATTATACTAAACAAAATTCATTGTGGTAATACTACCGACTTATATTATATATAAATAGTACATTTCTCTGAAATTAATATTTTTGTTCAAGGCAAACTGTCAGAAATATAAAACTCACCTTGGCACTATCAAAGAGCATGCATTTTTTCATAATCGTACACCTTGAATAAAACAAAATGTAACAACGAGTTTTTTAGTAACATATAAGATGGTTGTACTATAAAATCTGCATAATAAACATTGTTACAACATATTTCTATTTACGAAATGTCCTCTTTGTCAAATCCAAATATCAAACCTTTTGTCTGCTTTCTGACAGTTTTCGGGCATCGCTTATTGCATTATATGACTATTGCAGTTGACAATAAATCGTGAAAAAAAACAATATCAAATGTTATACATTCAATATCTATCGATTTACTGACATTATTAACAGTCTTATTGCTTACAAAATCTGCCATGCCAATGTTGTAACACCAACTCGAAGCTTTTTATAGTATATGAGGCAAAATTGCTATTCATTTGGGATTTTATTTATTTGGACGATATTTCATTGTATTTACTGAGTATGATGTGACACTTAGACCCTTTAATGCAGTTTTAGCTTATTCAATAGAAAATAAACTTTTTAAAGACTAAACTATTTATCATATATTGACCTCTGAAACGACACATTGTGTCTAGATGACTTTCTATGGTATGGTATTAATACTGCAGCGTTATCATTGAGATTTTCCCTAATGTACGATTAAACGAAAACAAGATAACAAACTATAGGTGACAAGTAGGGTTAATGGGTTTTATCAGCTACGTGACCATTAAGTAGGCTTGATGGTCATCTAAACCTACTTCACATAATGAAGCTTTGTCTGACCACATCAATCGCTGTCGGTTAAGCTAACAACTGATGGATCCGTTTGTTGAACATTGGCTTTTACTTAAAATATAGCGCTTGAAAACTGTTTCAGTATCATTCCCATTGTTTATTTTCGAAAAGAACTTTATCCGTTATCGGCCTTAGCTACTTAAGGCATCTTGAAAATTGGACTTAACAAACTTCACGTCGTTCTTTTCTTAAAAGAAAATGCCGCACTGATTAGAAGTTATGTCATATGTTGTACAATTATCAAAAGAACGAAGTGAACGCAAATGGAGACGTATAGGGGTCAATATTCATCTTGAAAAATCCTGTTTAGTATTATTATGCTATGAGCACCTATTTAAGGATCTTTTCGACATCGATTTTTCACAGCTCAATAGTATTTCTATCTGTTATATTACCGGAAGGAAATATTGAAAACGAATGTTAGCCATTTCTTTACAATATGCAAAAAAAACCTGTTTTACTATCTGACATCATGTATTTATAAAAATTTCATTTTCCAACTTTGAATACCTGTCCGAATAGTTGTCGCAACTTTCCTTTTAATTTTTATAATTATGATACTGAATAGTTCAGTTTTGAGCAAGTGCATGACTATTTAGGGTCTTCTTTGGGTACGATTCAGTGCATAATTATCTACTTGGTTACACCGCCTAATGGTAGGATTGTCAGTTGAGACGTTAATTGTGTAATAATACAACAAAGATTGCTTCATACTTAGTAAACCATTGAATCGTTCGAGTGAATGAAGTTTAAAAAAAGATGACCCTGTGTCGAATTATGCAAATACCTTGAATTTTTTGTAAACTAAAAACCGCTTCTTTTCTGTTTATGATTGAGTGTTGTCCTGGGTATAATAACACTCCCCACATCCTTCCTTTTCAAAATTAATCTACATGTGTTTATGTTCCGGACCATATGAGTATTTGGACCATACGCGTATGGTCATGACCATATGCGTATATACTCGTATGGTCCGACCATACGCGTATGGTCCGAGTAATTAATACGATGAACGTTGAAGGCATCACCCTTCAAGGTGTCATAAATCAGTAGTTTCTAAAAATGAAATTTTGACTTAGATAATAATTTGGTAATTATTGTAACGTGATTAATGAAAGAAAATTATTTTTACTCACAAGTTAAAATGATAGTAGAAGCATTTTTAATTTGTTTTTACGAAACAATATGTCGACTCCGAAAATAACTAAGTGAGCTGTTGAGCAAGAAGACGACTGTTTTACACATTAGCAATTGGAGCATTGAACCCTCCTTTTTCTTTATTTTGGTGTTTCAATTTTTTTTGTAAATTAAAATTCTTAAACATTTTTAATTATTTTTCGTTATTTAATTTGTTCATACTCCTTTTTGTACGATTTACAATTACAGTAGTTTATACATGCTGTCCTCTATTCGGCTTATGTACAAACCACTGTTATTGTAAGAGCGTATGAATAAGCGTATGAACACATCGGTCAAGTGAAAATTAGTGGAAAATTAGAAGAAATTAAAGAAAATCTAATCTAAACGCCGGGACAAAAAATGTCCATGCCCCAAACACATGTGGATTCACATACGGAGGAAACTGTCGACAGGATAAAGGTGCTTAAAATTGACTCTAGATAGCGAAGGCAAGATAACAAATATACCAAGATTCAATAAATTAATAACTTGTGCCGATTTTGGTTCAGAGAACGAGCTGTGCCTGTTAAGGAAGTTTGAACTTGTTCGAAAAATACCTATATGATCTAAATACTCATATGGTCCGGCCCGTTAATAACCAAACAAGTATATTCTCATATGGTCTGAGTATAATCATATGGTCATGACCATACGCGTACGGTCCAAATACTCATATGGTCCGGAACATTTATTTATGGAACTGAACATTGAACTTTTGATGAACGTTTTGATTAATGTGTTTTATGCATGGAATGTGATTATCGAATTATTTTTAAATAGTTTAGATTACCACTTATTAACATATAAAAGAACAAATATTAGGCCAGTAGTAGTTATCGAAATAGACATTGTTATACATACATGTATGTTTCTATACGAAATTGATTTCGACCGTATGTGAACATCTGTTTGTCAAACGAACTGTGTTCGGACATTTATTTGGTAAGTTGACATAAGTTGATATCTGATATATTTGGAAAAAGCACTCAAACTAAATGATGTAAATAACCGATGTAGCTTATCGGTGTTCAAATCTCGAAAATCATGTTTTACGGTCACAATCGCGAAAGTACGTCTCTTATCAGTTGAGACACTGACATATATTTTGTTCGTGATAGTGACAGTAAAACTTGTTTTGGGTCACTTTGATTTGGTCCTCCTCATAACCCTATCGGAAAAATTGATAAGTCTTAGAGCAAAAATTCTGTTTTAATCACAATGTTAAACTTTATTGCATAGATTTCAAGATTTCCAAGAAATTTAATTTTATAGTGGACCTAAAATACTTTATTTAAAAAAAATACTTAGCATTTAAATAAAAGAAAGTGATTTGGGTATATGTTTATGCTGGGGCATAATATATTGACGTGTGAAAATGCCTGGCCTTTTTAGGTCAAACGTCAACTTTGACATGTTTATGACATCACAAGTGTCCTTTCTGCACTAAAGTGTCGAGATTATAAAACTTGTTCATTTATTTATAAAATTAACATAATTTTTGAAAATCTTCGATAGTTTAACTATTTTCAGGGGCCAAATAATCATCATACATCTTCCTTTGTAGTAGTTTTAAAACTAAAAAAATAAAAGTAGCATTTTATTCTTGTTTCAATCTATAAATAAACAAACTGATATAAGTCCTCATATAATACCATGTATGCATCAATCTTTTTGTCTCAAGACGAAGTCGGATATTTAGACGTGCTGTTTCCGTGCGGCAACGGCGACGGTGTCGTCGATTGGGTCAGTTATACATGAATACTAATAGGTCAATTGTAATTGGTATGTTGTTGAATGCAGGCATTTTTTGCAAAAAGCACATACATGCTCTAGCAATCAAAACTTATAATTATTACTGAAATGAAACAATGATAAACAGCAGTTAACAACAAACATGGTACAATGCACAGTTGTATTAGTATTGTCATTTCAATGGCTATTATTTGCCCCCGCCCCCTCAGTCATGGTCAATCTAATCAAGATTCATGCATAGTTTAAACGTTCAGGCTTCAAAATTTGTATTGAGACATATCTTTGTGTCAACAGTTTGCTTTTAGTTTATATTATTTCAATTGTACTATGTTTCAGTGATGTCTTGGGATTCATGGGGTCGGGAACGATAAATTAGATGCCCGATGTTGCATAATATCGCATGTGTGTTATAAATTAAAGGAAAAGAAATTGTGTAAATAACTGTCATACTTATGCATTGTTTAGTGTTCCGGTACTAACAAAATCCTACGTTTGTTTCACCGTGTCTTATGTTTTTTGTGTTGTTACAAATCAATGCGTGCTGATACTTTATACTGATATTTATCCGTTCATACATTCATAGTGCATCTGGTGACCTTGAACTTTAAACTTTCGACCTGACGATTAAATTTAATTCAAGCTTTACACTTTGCAAGTTAGATGCAATACTTGAGAGCTACTTGTCATTTTGCG